GGGGGCGACACTGAAATCTGCGACCGAATCAAACCCCCGCCGTCCTCCCTCCCCGGCGCGTCCACTGGATGGGGTAGACGGATCAGTTGTCTTCTGCGACGGCGAGAGTGGCTGGGGAAAAAAACAACTATATTGGACGGGGCTGCTGATTTCTACACACTGGTCAACCTTTGTGTTATTCCGACAGTGTTTAGTACAGCAAGGAGCAGGAAGTGTTTGTTAGTGCATTCTTTGGCTGGATCTTCTCCGAGTCGAACAACTGCCTGATAGATGAACCAGTGCCAGCAGATTGGTAGGTCCTGAGTAGATTTGCAGGTCGTGAGTAGATTTTTTTTTTGGTAAGCGTTTTGCTCGCAACTCCACTAGGTCATATTCGTAGAACATTTTGAAATTTTGCCCGGGTGGCGGCCGAAGCCTACTCTTATCGATTTTAGACCACCAAGGGTTCTTTATCGTGCTCAACTTGCACACGGGACCTCCGAGATGCTTCACCCTTGTCCGAGAAGGCTAGGTGTAGATCTTTCCTATCAGAAGATCAGGGGTGTGGCAGAAAGACAGCAGTAAGAATGAGCCAAGGAGTAACAGTAGAAAGGCTGCAGAAAGAGTCAGGAGCCCAGAGGAGAGGCAAAAGGAGGTGAGGGGTGGAGGCACCCAGAGGAGAGGCAAAAGGAGGTGAGGGGTGGAGGCAGAAAGTAGGGACGAAAGCAGACGACAGAAAATTGTTAGAGAGCAGGAAAGGAAGTGAAAGGAGACACATTTAGAAAAGAGGAAATTCTCTCGCTTTTCGGATTTGAACCCGGGACCTGTTGAATGAGATGTGAACACCCTAACCTGTAGACCACGAGAGCTCCCTTCGATGTGTGCGTGCCAACAGTTTACTCTTCTTTCGTGCCACTGTTGGGAAAGTTGAGTTTACTGACACTGATGACCTTTGAGATCTAGCCTACAGAAGGTGTGTGTGTGTGTGTGTGTGTGTGTGTGTGTGTGTGTGTGTGTGTGTGTGTATGTGTGTGTGTGTGTGAGTGTGTGTGTGTGTGTGTGTATGTATGTATGCTCGTGTGTGTGTGCTGGTGTGTGTGTGTGTGTGTGTGTGTGTGTGTGTGTGTATGTATGCGAGTGCGCGTGTGTGTGTGCACGTGTGTGTGTAATGTACAACCTATGTGCACGTGTATATATTATATATGTGAGTGTATATCGTGTGTCTTTCTATGTCTGTGTGTAGAAAAAAAAGAGGAGAGGGTAATTACTCTCCGTAGCTTTTTAATGGTAATGTTCACGATTTGAATTGTAAAATGAGCGATAAACATTAAATAAATGCAAGCAGTGAACTGGACTTTATTGAATCTATAATACGAATGGAAGAAAATTAAAACCTCGAACTTTTTTTCGGAAAGAGGCTCGTTACTTTTCCCCTCAAAAGCTGAAGAACGATTAAATCTTTGTTGTTTTTTTAACTGCTAGTGTTGTGATGAACTGCCAGCGACCAAGCTGCTCTGTTTCAAGCAGACGCCTCAGAGGCTCAGTCGCTAGCACACAGGTGGGACAGGACAAACTGACAAACACAGCGATAGATCTCGCCGCTCGATCTAGGCTATAGATCTGTCATAGATCTTACCTGTAGCGGTCTACAGCTAGCCGGGTGTTGTTTAGCGTTTGCCCTCGCTGGGTCACAGAAGTCGCCCAGTTGTTACATCATGCAGCGACCCACGTGCGGCATATCGTCCGTACAGATACAGTGAAGCCGGTAGGTCGAAGTCAAAGTAGAACATGATTCATGATCATTCATTATATCGTGTGCAACATGACAACGTATAGACGTATAACATTTCCCTTTTCTTTCAATGTTTGCCGTCGGCGTGTGTTATTGTGGTGTAGTGGTTGTAGAAATGTCCTCGCCGCCATCAGTTCATAGATATAGATCTAGGCTAGGCTAGGGTCAGTGAAGTCGCTGTGTTGTTACATCACGCAGCAGTCCTCGAGCGGCATCTCATCTATTTTACACAGGGGGGGGGGGGGGGTAGCATGTTGTTTATAGATCTATTATATGCACTAGATCTAGATATCTCGATCTAGATATAATCTAGATCTAGATCTAGGCCCTAGATCTAGATCTAGGTCTAGATTCTAGATCTAGAATCTAGATTCTATTTCTTTCTCACAGAAATATGGTCTGCACTTTCTTTTCTTTTTCTGCAGTCATGCATTCTCAGCCCCCTTGAACCCCCCACTGTTACGGCTAGTGCCCATTAATACACATGATGTAAACACACTGGGTCATCCAAAGTTCAATCTGGCCAAAATAATTTTTTCATACAAAAAAGGCAGAAAAATATTACTGTCTAATTATACGGAAGGTTTCACTACCTATCCTATAGATCTACATGGCCACTTAATTTTGTCCTAAGCAATCACTCCTGTTTCTTGTAGATAAAACAAACGGGAAGGCAATTCCAAAGATCCCCGAGATTTTTACTTCTACTAGACTCAGGCCTAGATCAAATCTAGATCTATATTTAATCATTATGTAACATAACATTGGAACAAGCAGTGGAGCCCACATGTAATTTATTGTAATACACATTTATGCTTGCAAGAGTCACATGTGCTAGAGGTTTGTGATAAGAGTCTAGATCTAGATTCTAGGTCTAGATGGATAGATCTAGATGGAGACAGAGATAAGGACAGCCAGGACAGAGATAGCGTAATGATGTTAATTTTACAATGATTTTTCTACAAGTAACAAGACATTAGGGTGGTATGAAAAAGACTGAGGCTATGTCTTATTGCTAGATTTATATATATAAATTTAATCATGCAAGGTAATATCTTAGTTAGTAGAAAGACAGAAAATGTGTGTGTGATCTCAGCGGCGTGGAATATAATTATATTTGTCTTGCTTTCGATGAAAAAAAATACCCATAAAAAAAG